TGTGGTGGGGGGGGGGGGGGGGGGGGGGGGGTGCACCATGGACCTGTCTGGATGGGTCCAGCAGTGGTGCTCAACCTCTGGCCCATGGGTCTTCCTATAGCTCTGGAAATTTATCTGCAGGGGAGCAGTGGCAGCATTAATTGCTGTTCCCCTGCTGCTAAATTTCCAAACCAATGAGAAGCCTACAGGTTGCAATAACTTGGCCCTGTGTGTTAGATTGGGCTTACATGAGGCTGGCTCCATCATGCAAAGTCAAACTGGCACATGGGGTAGGGCCATCACACTGGGTCAGGCTAGTGTGTGATAAGTTTCATTTGATGGCTGCTCTTTGGTTGGTTTAGGTCTGGGCTCTGTTTAACCTTGAACCATCACAGTTTATCCTCAGCTGAAGAAGAAAAATATTGTGTGAGCCTCTTGTTAAAATACTGGTAGCTTGCCACTATTCAAACATGACTCTCACTAATGACTCTTGCATTAAAATGCCCTATTTATAGCACATAAATATTTAATCTGAAATAATGTATATAAAGGCAGCCAAATGGTCAGCCTGACCCTGCCAAGGGGTTCAGAATTTCCATCTGAGACCCAAGGACAGCAGGATGTTTCCACAACTCTGAAGGTCTGTCATTTTTAAAACTAACCAAAATTGTCCCATAGAGCTAGTACAAAGTTAGATTCTCAGTGCATGTGAACTGGCAGCAGAGCCACATGAACTGCTGGGGAGTTGTAAAAGATACTTTAGAATGGCCACATAAATCACCTGCTCTTCCCCTGACTCACAGCTGTAGCTGATTTTCTGTCTTGGGGTACAGGACTGAATCCTGCAGCCTTGTCCAGCTGACTAGCCTTACCATCAGTAAGTTGGAGGTATTTTTTACATGTTGCTTTCTCATTTCCTCTAACTTTTTGTACCTTAATTCAGTGAACTTTGTCTACAACCACCAGGTGGGAACTAAAAACCCTACAATTGTTTGTTACATGGGGAAATGTATTAAGCTCATTTACATCCTCCAATTCCCACTTTTCCCTTTCCCATCTTACCTCAGGCCCTGGTCCACTCTTCTTTCTTCTCTGCAGCTCCTGAGAAATGAGAGGAAGCTTCCTGATGTTTTGTATAGGCAGCTGAGACCCACTTTTGTGCTTCTACAGGGCTGCAGAGGATGACTCCTTGCGGGAGGAGGCTCCTCAGAGATCCTATTTGCAGGAAAGTCCCAAATGTAACCTGACATTATGGGTCTTGTTGGTGCCTGAGTATGTCAGTGAGAAAGGGATAAGAAAAACTGGAATGGCCAAGCACCTAGTTCTTAAAGCCTTCTCAGAGTGGACAAGGGCAGGAGGAAGTGTGTGGTGGAGTGGGAGTAGATGGGAGCATCATCAAACTGATGATGAGGATAGAGGCAACTAGGGGGAATGATGAGTGTGTGGCCAAGGAAGAAATGAAGGCTAAAGGATGGGGTGGAAAGGGAGCAATGGCAGAGGGTGAACCAGAGCAAGGAATTGATAGGGTGGGAGAAATAAAATGTGGGTGTGAAAGAGAGGCTTAGGGGGAAGGAGAGATAGAATCATAGAAAATTAGGACTGGAAAGTTAGCTAGTCCAAAGCAGGACCGTCCCCAGCTAGATCATCCCAGCCAAAGATCTGTCTAGCTGGGTTTTGAAAACCTCCAAGGATGGAGATTCCACCACCAATCTGCATAACCTGTTCCAATGTTTTAATACCCTCCTAGTGAGAAAATTCTTTTTAATATCTAACCTAAACTTCCCTTGCTGCAACTTGAAACCATTGCTCGTTCTTCTGTAATTTGCCAGCGCTGAGAACAGTCTAGCCCCATCCTCTTTTGAACCCCACTTCAGGTAGTTGAAGGCTGCTACTAAATCCACCCTCAGTTTTCTCTTCTCTATACTAAATAAGCCCAGTTCCCTTAGCCTTTCCTCAGAAGTCATGTGCCCAGCCATCTAACCATTTTTGTCACCCTCCGCTGAACTCGCTCTAATTTGTCCACCTCCTTGCTATAGTGAGGGACCCAAAACTGAACACAGTATTCCAGATGTGGCCTCATCACTGCTGAACAGAGGGGAATAATTACTTCCCTTGACCTACTGGCAACACACCTACCAATGCAGCCCAGTATGCCATTAGCCTTCTTGGCAACAAGGCACACTGCTGGCTCCTATTCAGCTTATTGTCCACTGTAACCCCCAGGTCCTTTTCTGCAGAGCTGCTTCCCAGCCAGACAGCTCCCAGCCTGTACTGGTGCATGGGATTTTTCCGTCCTAACTGCAGGACTTTGCACTTGTGCTTGTTGAACCCCATGAGATTCCTTTTGGCCCAATCCTCCAATTTGTCTAGGCCACTCTGAATCCTAGCCGCACCCTCTAGGGTATCTACTACTCCCCCCAGCTTGGTGTCATCTGCAAACTTGCTGAGGGTGCACTCTATGCCATCTTCCAGGTTGTTAATGAAGACATTGAACAAAACCGGCCCCGGGACTGACCACTGGGGCACTCTACTTTATACCAGCTGCCAACTAGACATGAATGTAAGATCTGCTGACTAGATGTAAGAACTAATCCAGCTCCTCCTATAAACAGCAGCAAAGCTCCCCAGGGATTGGGATGAGTGTTGGATCAAGCTGCGAAAGGGCATGGAAGGTAAAGGAAAGGAGCCCATAGCAAAGACAAGTTCTTTGTAGCACTGACCATTATTTTGCTCCATGTCTATATAGGACCCAGGACAGCAGGACCCTGACTTGGACTCTGTGATAATATGAGTAAATAATAATACAACCCACATTGTAGGTACAAAAAAGAGAGCAAAGGGGTAGGTTGGAGGGAGAGGGAAGGGAAGACAACTATTATTACACACTAGAAGAGGAGGACAACAGCCCCTAAAAAAGAGGGAGGGGGAATGGTGCAGAAGGTCCAGGGGAAGGGAGGAAGGAATAAAGGAGGAGGATAAGGAATGGAGGAGGGATATCTAGAGCATAAGAAAGGATAAGGGTATACAGAACTGAAGGCATAAAAAATCCACTCAAAGATAAGTCTACTGTGCCCAGGGGAAAGGGCCCCTTGGGCTCAGTGCTCTTGCCCTTTGTGACAATAGCATACAGCATTGACCACTGATTTTGGACTCTAGGGACAAAGTTCCAATTGACTTCAATAGGTCCAGGTTTTTGCCCCATGAGTCTGGTTTTCCAAAGTGCACTGAAATCAGCAGGAGCTGGAAGAGCCTGGAACCTACGAAAATTAGCCACCCAGTTAGAGACAGGGCACCAAAATACAAAAGACTCCTAGATCTGGCACCACCTTTGCACATCTTGTCTTATGGAGTTTTGCCCCTGCGTTGGATATTGGAAGGATTTGGCCCAGAGTGAAGGTTGATGAAGGTAGCAACAAGCCTATGGGAAGCGGTGCTGGGCCTGCCACTCCCCGTCTTGACAGACATAGGCAGGTGAGGGAGGCTGGGTGAAAGGGTAGTTTCCTTCCCACCTCCTTTTCTCTATTTCTGTCACGGGAGTCACAGGTGGGAGGAGGGAGAGCCTTATACGGAAGTCAAGTCTGGGCAGCTCAGCCTGTGTGAAACCTCAGAAACAGAGAGCAGGGGGAAACAAAACAGGTTTGGTCAGAGCACAGAAGATACCATCAGTTTCTCCTTCCTACTTCCTCAGCCAGAAGACCTGCCCCAGACCCAACTCCTGTCAGCAGATCTTGGTAGAGAGACGGAGAGATTCTTCTCTTCACCAATTCACCATGAAGGTAAGAAAAAGAAACCACTTAGCAACTCAACTAACTTGCATTCAGTCTCTCTGGACTGTACATGCCTTTGAAACACGGCACCTTTTAAAATCTCATCCTTTTCACATTTGCGCTCCAAGCCCTTCTAAACCGCAACAATCAGCTTTTAGTACACTCAGCAAATCTAGTGCCTCATGTCAGTGAATGACCTGTTTCCCCATATGAAACTGACTAAGCAAAGTCACTCTGTCATGTTGGTTTCACGGTTCCCCACGGCGCCTGCAAGTTGCACAAGTTGCACTGATTAGGTTTGGTTATACAGTTCATTTATGTTTAGCTGCTGTCAGCTTTAGATTATTGGTGAGCAAATGTGAGGAAAAACGTGGGGAGAGAAAGAAACGTATTCCACTGAGAAAGTTACATTTGCTTGAGTTAAAGGAGAGTTTAACCAGGAGCCAGAACCTCAGCTTGTAAAAATCAGTATGGTTCTTATGTCTAGTATAAATCAGGTAGTACACTGATTTGTAGTAGCAGGAAGCATGGCCCTCCATGCATTACAAAGTCCAGTGAAACATCATATTTGCTTAATTAACTGCTTGCTTAACTTAGTATTTGCTTCACAAAAAAGTAAAGTTACATGCCCTGCTAAATTGGAAAATAAAAGGCATTTTTTTAAATCCCAAAAGACTCTTGTAGTCTCCTAGGGAGACCAGAACATTTGGCAAACATTCAATCATAGAATCATAAAAAATGAGGGTTGGAAGGGACCTCAGGAGGTCCTCTAGTTCAACCGCTGCTCAAAGCAGGACCATCTCCAACTAAATCATCCTAGCCAAAGCTTTGTCTACCTGGGTTTTGAAAATCATACCATGTACCAATGCAATTGAAGTTTCCTAAGAGTTTCAAATGTCTCTAGGCCAGGGTCAAGGTGCAGAGTTATAGGGCATTTGTACATGACACTTTAAAGCAGGTTAAGCACCCTTTTGTACAGCATTAATTACACTGTTTGCACATTTGGCAGTGTATTGCGCGTTAATTGCGCTGCTGTTTGCATATTTCGTGGCCTAATGAGCCTTAAGTGACTTTGGGATGCAGCAAATGACTTTGGGATGCAAGAAACTAAAACACCTCTGAGGTGTTTTAGTTTCCTACCTTACAGCTGTAGAGGGAAGCACCAAGCCCCGTGCAGCTCAGGGGCTGTGCAGGCAACCCCTGCAGTCAGCCTGGCAGCAGCCCGGGAAGGCAGGCTCCACTGAAGGGGGCGGGGAAAAAAATGGCGAGCCTGATCTTTTTGGGTTTTTTCCCCTGGAGCCTTCCTGCCTGCCTGAGCTATGTCGGGGCCCGGTGCTTCCCTTTGAGGCTGCGGCACCCCCCGGGACTGCCCGAGTTGGGTGCCTACAGGCAGGTGCCACCTGGGGGCCACTGCCACTGCTTCAGAGGGAAGTACCAGCCCCCAGCGTCCCCCCCGCAGCTCAGGGACAGCTCAGCCTACCAGCCCCTCGCTCTCCCCTCCCCACCACCGGAGAGGCAGGTAAGGATCGGGTGTGTATACGATGAGGGGGTTTAATTCTCCCTAAGCTGAAGCAGTTTTTTTTTTAAAACACCACTTCAGTTTAGGGAGAATTAAACCCCCGTATCATGTACAAATGCCCATAGGATATTTGCTACAAATGATTTTGGAAGACCAGTAACTTAATTTTGTTACTCAACCGCACAGGGATAAGTTTGGATGCCCAGGGCACAGGAACAGCAGCGATTTCTGGATGCTGCTGTGATTTTTTTTGTTTCTTGTTTTTTTGCCTGGTTGCTGCCATAGTTGCGATAATGATCTCACAGCTGCTAGTGGTAGCTACTCCCCCCCACAACTAGCCAGTGCTGGGGGCGATTGCCACATTCAGCTCACCCTAGTTATACTATTGTTGTTACTGTTAAGGCAGGTGCCACCCCAAGACAGCTGCTAATGGACATAAACTAAAAAAGGTACCTGCTCCTGAATTCTTTACTCCATGAGTAGCCCTTTATCACATGAGCAGTTGCAGGGCTCTAGCCACATGAGCTCTGTAGCATTTAGTATGCTGATGGAGCCTACTAGTGACCATAGGTCCAGCACATAGAAAAGCAGGCTATGATCTCTTCTTGTTGAGGGCTCATCCTTAGTGGAGACTGATGTTTCAGAACACTGTACTTCAGGCCAGTGCAGATTAAAATGGGGCTGGGGAGCAGTGAAGTGGGGCAGGGGACTGGGGATTAGCTATTTCTTTACCTTTTGTCCTCTAGGAAGCTGATTAGCTGCTCTCCCAACACAGGGAAGGGAAGAGATACAACAGCTCCTTCCTCCATACTTAGTGAATTCAGAGTTGTTGCTAAAGTTGCTTGAATTCAAGCACATTGCCAGCACACCTGACCAATTCCATAATCCTTCTCTGGCTACCTCCTGTTGTCTCCACCCCATGACACAGCCATAGGCTACCTTAAATTATTCTCTGAAAATTTCTCATGTAAAGAGAATGCCTGCAAAGAGTACATAATAATTCTTATGCCCTCCTGCTCCTGGATGTGGTTCCCTGGTATGTAAGAGGTACATCTACATGTTCATTAATGCATGGTGGTTACTGTGCATTAAATTTAGTATTTGTATAATCAAATACTAAATAATGTGCAGTAAGCTTTTTAGTGATGGTACTGTGCAGTAGCCAAATAATACTGTGCAGTAGCATATCAGTACTGTTTGTGCTGTGACTTGCGTAGATGTGCCCAGGGTGTATCAGGGCATCCCCACATCCTAGCAATTGATGACTCCTCAAGTGACCTGTTTAGACAGCTGGAATAAGTTACAGCAGTTCAAGAACTGCTCTGATGCATGTTGGTGATTGAGACTGGTTCATTAACAGCTGCAATATCCAATGCCTTAAAGCAATCTTTTCATTTGCCTTGGCCATGAGTTAAGCCTAGCTAGACTGACTTGTAGATCTGGCCCACAGTAGCTTCACACTGCCGCATACTAGAGCTGGTGAAATAAAATGCTCAAATAATAGTTTATATGATGATTTTCTCCCCCACTACTGATGGTTGAATAAATGATTTGTGAATCTTATTTTCCTCACTAACCAGCCATCTCAAGAGAGGTTCAGATACAGAATTTGTCAATTGTTTTCAGCAATCTCTGAATAATTTATTCGTGAATACACTTTTTTCATTATTCCACCACTGCTGCTGTACATAAAGTTTTCTATAATGCCTACTGAATATGCAAATATGCTATGCAACCAACTTACTGACGACGTGGAATGAGAGTTAAACAGATACTGTCAAGCCACTGAGGTTTCACAAAATGTCTTTTACCTTGAATGTTATATACTAGCATAGGGTATGTTCCAATCATTCTACTAGAGACTGGGATTTAGTTTTGGTGCTTGATTGGTATTTTTAAATATAATGACTCTTTCTTCGCATTATTATTACTTATTATTGTTGTAGCACATTCTGAAGTCCTCTTCAGGGACTAGGATTTCATTGCATTAGACCAATGATTTTCAGCCTTTTTAGATTCAATGATCCCTGCCCCATATCTTTTCAGAACTCAGGAACACTTCAGATGAGAACCACTGTTGTACTGCCTCCCCTTACCTCTGTGGTTCTCAATTGGGGTGCTGCTGCTGCTACTGCAGTAAGGTAGAACTGCCCCACACACCTTTCATGGAGCCAGATTTGGAGGCAGCTGCAGCAGAAGTAGGCACTTCTGCCCCAGCCCTTCCTGGATCTAGCCTCATATTCTCCTCCAAGAAAGAAAGGCACTCAGGATAGCTCCACCTGGGTGCAGTGGTGGTGGTGGAGCAGCAGAAGAATGCACAGATAAATCTCCAGGCTGCAGCACTATTGCCACTGCTTCCAGGTAAAATGATGTGGCATGGCTCTTTTTCCTGGAGAAGCACACAGGGACAGAGTGGGAAGGGCTGTGGCAGGAGCAGGTGCTCCTGCCTGCAGTAGGTTGAGAAACTCTGTGTTGGACACCAGGCAAATACAGGGGGAAATGACAGTTCTTCCTCCCAGAACTTCACATTATAAGCATATAAACAGGTTTGTGTAGACCCTACATAGAAGGACCTATGATGTGCCTTGTGAATGTGCAGTTGTGTTTAAAAGGGTGCTGTATACTCATTTACTCCCGCTCCCTGTAGGCACTGGATTTACAACCCATTTCTGATACCTTGCTCCAGGCGAGCACAGCCTTTAGATCAACTACAACTCCTCTGGTTGATAATAGGTGAATTTTATTGATACACAGTAATAGGAAATAAGAGTAATGCAGGCAAAGCAAGCAAGATGACTACAAAATACATTACCCGAATTCCCCAGTACCCAGAATATACACATGGCGAGTGGTGCATTCGGCCGGTATGTAAATGCCACCTTGAGGTTCTTTGCTTGAATGGCTGATGTCAGCAACCTTGGAGGTCGGGGACTAATGCCCACTTGTTGTTCTGAAAACTGCTTTTGTAGTCTTTTCTCCTCTGATGACTTTTCATTTCCGGATACCATTGATTGATTTCCATGTGGCTATGCTGTCCACATTCTGTTTTGTCAGCCAAAATCCTATCTTCATAAACCCATCATATGCACACACCTTCATTTGGTCATTTCATTCCAAAACGGAAATTCCAAGGGTTTTTGTAAGTGGGTACTATAGCCCTAGAGCCAGGCCTATCTCTATTATGGAAATAAAGTTTGGATGTTTTTAATTACCCAGGATGTGTATGTCTGTTGGCCTCAGACACCCTGTCCGGTTCCAAGCTATGAAAGTATGTGACAAACAGGCTTTTAGAAATCAATTAACCCTTGTCATTCCCCTAGACCATTGTTTTAATGCAATATCTACTTTATCTACAAGCCAATTCCTAAAAGCAATCCTCTAAATATGATTGACTAGCCATCACTCCTCTGGTTCTTTCTCCAGGGCAGTTGAGATCTGCCCAGTAAAGCAGTCTCGATTGGAGGCCTGAGCTTCCTTGTAGGGGGAAGGG